CTTATGATAAGAGATCTACTGAAGTCAGCTTTGAACCAGGAGACAAGGAGTGGTTGTATAATCCCAGGAAGACCAAAGGGAAGTCTCACAAGTTGTCTTCTCCATGGGAAGGCCCATATGACATAGTGGATCGTCTCTCAGACGTGACTTTCCGAATCAAATGTGGTCGGCGATGCAAGCCAAAAGTGGCGCATGCCAACAGGCTTTGGCGTTATCACGGTCCAGGACATTTCAGTTAGAACAAAATGAACAACAGAACAGATGACGCTGCTGAAGATGTGTCACCTGAAAAAGCCACTGTTGAAGAAGAAACTCTACCCAGTTTTGAGAAGGAAAGCAGTGAAGCCGTTAATGAAGTTACTACCACTGATGTAACTGCTACCGATAATAGGAAATTTCCTGATGGAGCAGATGAATCCCATGTGAAGCATAAGCCAACGAGATGGAGACCAGTACGAAAGAAGAAACGTCCAGTAAAATTAGGAGACTTTGTTGTATTTTAATTTTGTGTTGTAAATTCTGTACATTTAATTAAGTTATTGTTAATTATCTATTGGTTTAATGTAAGTGGCTATTGTTCAGGATGAACAATACTAAGGAAGGGGCAGTGTTACGACAGCGGAAGTCACGTGACTCTGGTAACATGTGATGACTTTTTCGAATGATCATGAATTGTCGGGGAAGACCGAGTTTGTTCGAGATGTTCTCTTTTTTAGTATATAAGCCTGGCAGAGAAAGCCTGCACGATTGAATGAAGAGAGATCCAGGTAATTTACGATTCTGTTTCGAGCTAGTGTGTGTTTACGAGATTGTGAATCGCTGTGATTTATAGCATGTATTATAAAAGTAGTTAAGTTTAAAGTGACGAGAAACGTACTGATTGTGAAATTACTGTATGCTAAAAGTTTATATCGAGGAAGAATAAACTGGTTTAACCAAGAAAGACTTGTATCGCTGAAGTATCTCGGAAAGAATTTCTACAGGAAATTAACAAACAAGCAGATGCGTAACAATATATATATTCCATTTTAGATTTTTTTATATTGCAAATGCCTCCAAAAAATTATCAGGCCATGAAAAGAGAAAAAGGGGTATTCAACAAGAAGAAGCAGTCAAGAAACACCAAAAGGTATCAATTTTTTTCAGTCCCAAGTCTAAAAGTGGGAACAATGCAGGGTCAACTTCTTCAGTTACATATATCTCTCCAGATTTGTCATCTAATGTTTGTGAAGTCAAACCAACTGAAGACACTGTACCTTCTGAAGGAAAAAATGATTGCACGCATGAATCAAAACATCATAATCGCATTTGCGATATTGTTGAAGACTTGGGCAATAATGTCATAGTAGGGAATTCTGAGAATTTTAAAAGTAAATTTGAAAACTTCCCCAAAACAAATGTCAACTACTATGATCCAGCACACTGGCCGGATGAATTATCAGTGGCGGAAACTGATCACATCATTATGAATGGGCCACATCCTATTAATAAACAGTACAGTTTCCCAAAAGATGCAAATAAACGTAGTTTCTTCATGACAATGATGTATAGGAAAATTAACAACAGTGGAAATTTTCTTAGAAGGTGGCTTGTTTATTCAGAGAGCACCAATAAAATTTATTGCTTTTGTTGCAAAATTGTTGGCATCTCACATAAGTCATATTTAAGAAAATCTGGAATTAATGACTGGAAGCATGCTGATAAATATTTGCAATCACACGAAAATTCAGTACATCATCTGGAATGTCTTAAGTGGTTTGAGACATCACTACGATTACAGACTAGTAAAACTATTGATAAGGAGATACAGTCACGTGTGGAAAAGGAATGAGAGCATTGGTGTAAAGTTTTAGAACACTTAATGAACATCACTCTGAAAACAATTTGGCTTTCAGAGGAACTTCAGACACATTATTTACACTGCACAATGGGAATTTTTTAGGTCTTGTTGAGATACTTGGAAAATTTGATTTGACAATGAACGAACATTTACGTCAGGTTGTGTTTAAAGAAACTCATATTCAGTTTTGTGGAAAAAATGTTCAGGATGAAATAATCAATTTGTTGGGAAATGCTGTTCAGGAAAAATATATTAAACTGAGATAAAGAAGCCAAATATTTCAGCCTTATCTTAGACTGTACGCCACATATAATTCATGTAGAGCATTTTAGATGTAGAAGGCATTTCAATAAAGGAACATTTTGTTGGCTATAAACCAGTTAAAGATACTACAGGCAAAGGATTATATGAAAGAATACTTGATTTTCTGACAGAGAGCAAGCTAGACTTACATAACTGCAGAGGTCAGGGATATGATAATGGTTCGAATATGAAAGGAAAGAATAAATTGGTTCAGGCACGGATCATGCAGGAAAATCCACGGGCATTTTATATGCCATGTGGATGTCATAGCCTGAACTTGGTGGTTGGTGATAGTGCAACAAGTTGCTGGATTCCATTTCATTTTTTGGTACTGTCTAGTGCTTATATGTTTTGTTTTCTGCCTCTCCTGGGCGATGGCATGTCCTTAAGAACCATGTTAAATGCCTCACTGCAAAACCTTTATGCCAGACTATATGAGAATGCAGATTAGAATGTGTCAAAGCCATTAAATATGAAATTATAGGAATCTGAGAAGCTCTTTATGAACTTTCAGAAATGCCTGCTTCTGATCCTGCAATATGACATGAAGCAAAGACTCTTGTATCACAAATGGAAGATTACAGTTTAGTTTTCTAGTGATGATGAATGTCTGATATGATGTCTTAGGCAGAGTAAATGTTGTCAGCAAAACTATGCAGAATCCCTCTGTGGAACTGTCTACCGCAGTTTCATTAATGAATAGTGTCACTAATTACTTAATTGATTATCGTGCAAATGGATATGAAAGAGCACTAACATCAGCAAAAGAATTAGATGTAGAGCCCATTTTTAAAAGTAAAAGAATAAGCCAAAAAAGAAGGTAATTTGAATATGAGAGCATTGACGAGGTCCCAAATACAGATGACCCAGAAAGAAGATTAAAAAATCATGTGTTCAATGTAATACTCGACACAGCTATTAATTCTTTATCAGCCAGATTTAACAGTTACAAAGTTTCAATAACACATGGGGATTTTTAAATAACATAAAAGATTTGCCAGATAAAAATAAACTGAGATTAGCATGTCACGGTTTGGAGGATAAGTTAAGGTACCAAGAAAATAGTGATATTAACGGATGTAATCTCTTGACTGAACTAGATCTTGCAAAAGATTTATTTCCTGTAGATATAAAGCTTCTGATAGATGCTGTTAGATTCATCAACAGTAATAAGTTACAGGATGTCATGCTAAATCTGTGGGTTGCATTAAGAATAATGCTTACAATACCTATAACTGTGGCCACGGGAGAGAGAAGCTTTAGTAAACTAAAGCTTATAAAGACATATTTATGGTTGCCCATGACACAAGACAGATTAAATTCTTTGGCAATTTTGTCCATAGAAAATGACCTTTTAAAAAAGATAGATGTAGAAAGTGCTATGAAAACATTTGCAAATCTAAAGTCAAGAAAAAAAGTTTTAGTTATGATAATGTATGTTTTTTCAGCATCTGTTCTTTTGCTCATATTCTTTAATTTATTAGTAGAAAATTTGTTACATCTGCAGTTTTTATCATCATGAACTTGACGGAATATAGTATGCTTCTCAATTTGTTAAAATTTTGTACCAATTTGAATGCTTCGTTTTTGTGTTTGCAAGCGAAAACTAGATACCGTAACTCACCCATTTCTACCTAGTGTTTGTTTGTAAGTGTAACAAAAATGGGTGGAGATCACTGCCAGTAATGTAGATACAGTCTCTCTCTCCCAGTTATATTAATGAAAAGATTTGAAACTTTGTTGCTGTATTTGAACTGTTTTCTTTAGCTTGTACAATGTATTGTAATAAATTCTAAATTCCTACATTTGCACTTTTTCTCCTTTGAAAAGTTTTAAAAATTATACTTGTAAGGGCGCCAAGTTCAGCTTGCCCGGGGCACCAGCAACCCTAGTGCTGACCCTGTTGATTCCCTGTGGTGGACACAGCAGGTAGCCCAATGTGACCTTGCTATACTGCAAACAAAAATAAGTTTGTCTTCTTGCAGTGTGTGTGCTGATACTTTAAAAAATGGATTTGAAAGCTTGATTTGTGTTTAAGATTAGTTGTGTGGGTGAACTTAATGAGCTGGATGATTTACTGTCATTTGATCATATATTTTTATGGTTTAAAATAACAAGTGATAGATTTAGCTTTACTGTCTAAACCTTGACTCATTTTCCTTGAGAAAATAACCTCTGTGGAAGATATTCAGTAGTTGTATAAGATAGAACTTGCATGTTTGTTGTCTACACATTTCTCCATTCATGACTATGTAATAGTAAAATGGACAATTGTTTTGAAAGTATATTTGTCATATTAATCTTTTCCCTTTTATTTTTTCCTGATAAAGATATTTTCCTGTGAGATTAACACAGCACTTGTACAAATACTTAATTTAAATACATTGTGCAAATAATTTATTTTTTTGCTGTAAAACAAAGTGGTATTATTCTGTCACATCATGAAACAGCTTTATTTTCTTTGGTTTTTCCATGCTAAGTTGAAACTTCATATAGTCTTATGAATCTCTTTTAGGAAATGTAATCATTATCATAGAAGAAATTCAGATAAATATGGAGCCCTTGTTCAGTAAAGATCCAAATGACTTGTTAGAAGAGAAGATGATGGATAACATTGAAACTGCTAGAGAATCACTTTGTAAGTTGCCATATTTTATATAAAATTGGATATCAATAGAATATGTTCAAGTTTAGAAAGAATATAAGAGAAAACAAGCATCTCAAGCTATTTTTACCAGTGAGTTGAAATGACAATACAAAACAAACAGTGCTACAAAATGTAACCTGTTTCATACAGGTATCAACAGAAGTGTAATCAAAACTGTCATGTCATCTCGAAAACAGTTTTCAAAGTAAGACTTGTAGACTGGGTTGTCCAGTGGACAACATTCAGGTCAATTATAATTGTCCATAATAAAAGTCTGTTTATAATTCTACTTATTAATTTACCTATGTTAAAATACTTTTATTGTGAGCTCAAGGCCCTCTTACCAGAGCCTTTATCAGGCAACAATGCACTGAGCGAAAAAAATTGTTAAACTTTATAACACTGCTTTAAAATATGTATCTAAGCAATAGTTGTAACAATAACTGACATCTGGTATCAAAGTTATTAAACATATAGAATTATGATGAATATAGAATATAAATCAATTGCCTCGATATAATAAACATAAGGAAAACACAATTATAAGTAATATATGTATAGAGAGAAATAAAACTATAAATAAGGACAGTAAAGGAATTTTTAAACTTAAAATAATACATTGTAAAATTAAAGGTTTAATTTTACATCGAAACCACGACAAATAATATGCTTTATGTCTTTTATTAGTGGTGTTCATGCAGTATTGAGTAGTTCTTGGTCGTTGTCTTGATTAATACCCACTGGTCGTCCACTGTCTTGTACTTGGATGGCAATAGCTTCCTTGATTTTTCTACATTTGGTGTTTTCTTCTCTGTCTATTATTTTGGCATTTTTTAGGTCGATAATATGGTCATTTTCCTGAACGTGAAAAGCTATAGTTGATGTGTTTATAGCACAGCTCGTAATATATCTTTGGTGTTCTTTGAACCTTACCCGTTTCCCCAATGTATTGTTTATTACACTCGCACTGAATACTATAAACATGTTCTTTATGAGAGGACTGGGAACTAGGGATTTTACCTTTGTAAGACTGTTGCATAGTGTAGGAGGACTTAAGAAAACTATGGTGATGTTAAGTTTATTCATTATCCTACAAAGTTTTTTCCTAGGCCTAGGTATGTAAGGAAGAAATGCCTTTTTCTTTTAGTTGTGATTTTCAGGTTGTGATTCATTAGTAGTTGAGACAGATGAACCATATAATACATGCTGAATCATTTTACTTGGATAATCCTGTAAAATTCCCACTTCTCAGTCCTCTCACAAAGAACTTGGTTTTATAACACTTGGTCTGAGTGTAATAAACAATACATTGGGGAAACACAACTGTCGTTTCAGGTAAGGTTCAAAGAGATATTAAGAACTGTGCCATAGACACATCAGCTATGGCTTTTCACGTTCGGGAAAACAACCATATTATTGACTTATAAAATGCCAGAATAATAGAGAAGAAAACACCAAACATAGAAACAAAATCAAGGAAGCTATTGCCATCCAAGCACAAGACAGTGGGTATTAATCAAGACAATGGCCAACAACTACTCAATACTGCATGGACACCATGAATAAAAGACATAAAGCTTATTATTTGTCGTGGTTGCAATGTAGAATTAGTTTTAATTTTACAATGTATTATTTGAAGTTTAAAAATTCCTTTATTTATTTATTTTTATTTTTCTATATATTGCCTATAATTTTTTTTTATGCTTATTATATCGAAGCAATCAATTTGTATTCTATATTCATCATAATTCTATATGTTTAATAACTTTGATACCAAATATCAATTATTGTTACAACTATTGCCTAGATACATATTTTAAAGCAATGTTCCAAAGTTTAACAAATTTTTTTGGCTTGGTGCATTGTTGCCTGATGAAGGCTCTGGTAAGAGGGCCGAAAGCTCACAATAAAACTATTTTAAGGAGAGAAAAGTCCATTTATAATTCTACATGTAAACTGTAGTTGTCCACACTTGATGTTACGTTGTCCTAGATCAAATATCACACTAAAAAGCTCATTAGTTGATAGAAAATCATGATTTTATCATAGAACATCAAGAGCAAAACATGACCCCTTTCACTTTCAGCCTCGGATGGTCACTTTGTCAGGTATCTTGGAATGATCTTTTGTGCTTGTTTTGATTGTATTCATGATTTTCAGTGACTTTGTGCCTCCTTTCTTGATCACTCATCTGTGACACAAAGATTGCTTAGACATTCCAAATCTACATATTACATAAAATCAGTATTTAAGTATTATGTACCAAAAAATTCAAAATTTAAATGGTAGAAGTAAATGTGATATTATCAACATCTTTTTCATGACAATCCATTATTGGTCATAAATTGTGACAGGTTCCCAAGATGTAATAATGGACACTTATTGGTAAATGGTGTTTGGAGTCTTGATGATCAAGAGTCTTATTACCTCACATATTCAACAAGTCATTACCTACCTTTTTAGACTAGAATTCATGAAGTTAGCACTTATGAATGTTTACAATAACCAAAATAATAATAACTTTTACAATAACCTTTGGTTTCTAATTGCTATTTATACTTATTACCTCACATATTCAACAAGTCATTACCTACCTTTTTAGACTAGAATTCATGAAGTTAGCACTTATGAATGTTTACAATAACCAAAATAATAATAACTTTTACAATAACCTTTGGTTTCTAATTGCTATTTATACTTATTACCTCACATATTCAACGAGTCATTACCTACCTTTTTAGACTAGAATTCATGAAGTTAGCACTTATGAATGTTTACAATAACCAAATGGCTTGCTCTCATCTTGATCTTTTCCAGATGTACATTGTATGTTCTCATTGACAGCAGTTAAAAACTCAGGACATGTGAACATTGAGATATTGAAGTAATTTACCAATTAGAAAGGTTTTAAAAGTTTTGATGTATTGATGTATGTAGAAATGCATCGGTGACCTTTTATATATCTTAATTGACTTAGTGAAAAAAATTCTTAAATATTTATGCAACAGTGGTTTATGTTATTAACTATGAATGTGTAGAATATTAGGTTAAAAAATGGACAGAAGCAATAGATCATAAACTTATTATTGTTATGGGTGGTACTGGGGATTTAGCATGTTAACAAAAGTTAAAGAAAACTGTTGTGAGTTCAGAGATCTTATGACGAGTCTTTATGGTAAAAACCTTGTGTAAGAATTTTTAATGCCAATCTGAATTTAACAAAAGTTTAACAATGAGGAATAGCTTATTGAACAAGGCTAGTGGGATTATTTTTGACAAATATGAAGATGAGATTCATCATCAGTGCATGCTTTTTTTCTTTTAGTTCTCAAAAAAAAAAAAATAAGTACATTTGAGAAAATTTTAATGTAAAAGCTTGAGAGAGATGGTGGAGATTTTATATATATTTTTTTTTCAAATAAGGAAGTGGACAGCTGAGAGACTTCTCTTTATTTAAGGAAGGTTCCTAAAGTGGATCTTATCCATAAAAAAAAAAGGAAATTTGATTGAAGTTTCAGACTTAATTTTTTTTTTTTGTCTGTGTTGCTATTAAAAGATTTATCTATTTTTTTTTTTAGCAATTATCCTGCAAACTGAAATTATTGAGCACTCAACATGGTGTCACTACATAAATATTCTCCATACATGTAATTCTTTGATAGAGCTTCTGAGTTTTTGATCAGATGATCCTTCCATATGTTGTTTATCTTAACTTTCAAAATGCTTTTGTTATTTTATAAGAGCTTAATTACCATATTTTTCGGTGTATAAGACGCACTTTTTTACCCCAAAATTTGATGTCAAAATCTGCTTGCATCCTATACACCGAAGGTATGAATAATATACATACATGATATACACAAGCCATGTGTAAATATATTTAAATAGGCAATGCACAGTTTAGTTCAATTGAATGTGTTATTTATAACAATAGTAGTTGTTTTTTCTTTTAAAAACATAATTATTTATAATGCTCCCTAAATAATAAAAAAATAAATTACAGTGAAAGCAATGAAGGTTTTGTAGGTTTTGAACCAAACTAAACAAGAGTAAACCTTTTTTGATTTACGGTATTTTCTTATTTTGATGTTTTGAGCTCTTTTGTGTTTAGAACAATATATCCTAATTTTTAAAGTATCAAATTGAATTTTTGTTCAATAAAAATCTTTCAAATGCGACTGTAGCTTTTTTTCCCCAAAACTTTGTCTTCAAAATAAGGGTGCATCTTATATTCTGAAAAATACGGTACTCAAATTTTTATGGCAGCTAGGTAAAAAAAATCTTGAAACAGGAATTGTAACCTGGCTGAATTACATAGAAAACAAAGGATGAATAATTAATATTAAAAGGAATAAATCATAATCTTTTGGAAACTTTAGACCTAAATCTGTTCTTGGACAAAAATATTCAATTTGTAGAATGAAGGACATTAATTTGTTTTTCAGGCAGAAATAACACTTTTTCTAACATGGATGGATCTGTAGAACAGAGAGTTTGCTTAGAAGAAAGCTCTTGTTATGCCACTTCTGATTTTGAAACAACTGAGAAGGAAGAGGTTAATTCTATAGACAATTATAAAGTAAGTACATCTTAAATTACAGTTCCTATGAATTTTGTTGTTAAAATTTGTGATAATGTATTTGTAATGATCTTCCAAACAGAAATGCAATAGCTTTCATAAACATTTAGTAAAAGTTTTCATGTATGTATAATTAATGCTACAATACAATAATAAAGATTTAAGCCAATAACAATCAATAATTTTTGTCTTAAAGAAAGAAGCTGAATGTATTAATTCTATGACATCTGGCTAGCTAGGTGCATCTTGCTTCAAAGAAAAATTTGAACCATTGAATTGAAAAAAATTACAAACACTAAATTTAGTCATTTTTCTTTGTTTGTTACTTCGGAGATGAAATTTATTTAATTAAAAAAATATAAGATGTATTTTTTACAAATATGTATTTAAAAATTAAATCTTGATCTTAGATTGATTTCAGCATGTTTTGAAATAAAACACAAGTTTCTGAATTTTATGATTTTTTTCTGAGCACAATATTGCACTCATATCCCCCTAGGAGGAAAGTTAAAATATTTTGGAACAAAACAGTGCTAATTTGGATCTCTTAATTTCAATACAAATTTAGTTTTATTGATTTTAGCTAATACTGCTTCTCAACCTCGGGAGGCATAGTGTGTTTTGAAAAACCAAGTGCTATTGATATAAAACATAAAGCTACTTCTCTGTTCTTTTTTACCATATAAGCCAATATGGTATCCAGTTCAACAGAGACTTGCTTAAATATTGAAACAAACTTGTATAAGCGTAGCTTGGTAAGATGTTGTTAGTAGAAATGATATTTGTTTTACAACTTTTGCCACAATTAGTCCTGATTTTATTATATTTTTTGAAAAGCTTGTTTTTTTTATACTTCATTTGAACTATGAAGTTTCAGTATGATAGGAAGAAAAATGATTTTCATGCAACAAGATGACACAAGCTAAGTTAGGTCACTTTGTACTCAACCAAATCTAGTTTGCTGTTTTTCACCAATAAGGCTGTATTTATATTAGTTCTTGTTGCCTTAAGTATCTGCATGAATGCACAAAGAGAATTATCAAAAATATGTAAATATATATATATAAATATATACATACATGAAATGAGTTTCAAACACATTACATCTGTTAAACAAAACTTCTGTTTAATAATTTTCAAATTTTTCGTGCTTATAATTTTGGTATATTAAAAGATTATTTCTACTGTATGCCAGTGATCCACCTACCTCCTTTCCAAGGCGATCCACCGAGATCCTGAGGGGTTTTCGAGGTATAGCATCTCCCTGATTCACTCCACCTTGGCATGTTTGTCTTCTTCAGCTCTTTCCTTACATGGCAAAACTGTGTGCAATGTTTTTGAATTGAACAAAGAAAAATTTACAGTTTTATAGAATAAAATTTTAATTCTGATGCAGTACATTACCTCCTCTCACATAAATAGCTATTCTCATTCAGTGCTGCCCTGTATATGCAAAAATATTTTTTGCATGCAACAAGCCATGAGCTCCCATATATATATATATATATATATATATTACAATTGAATGGTTCAACTGTGTCTCATATGTAAATCATCATGCGACAACCCTCTACCAGTAGGAGTGTGACACACACTTCTGATGCATGTGTGACTCCCTCTACTCTTTTCTACCGAACTATCACTTCTCGTTTGGCAGTACTTGTGTCAAGACCTTTTTGTTGTGCTTTTCAAGTGTGTTGTTTTGTTCATCTTTGCGCTTTTTTTTCTTACATTAATTCCGAGGTGGATTTGTTTTTTCATCTTTTTTTTTATCATCAAATGTTGTGTTTGATTATTCATTGTTACACAATGGATTCCAAAGTACAAGTTACCATTTCAGAGGTAATACCTTCTGCTAGCACACACAGGCTACGGGTGGGGATAGCTCGTCTATGGACTTATCAGTTCTCATTCGCCATGAGATTGATCGTTATATGAGTCAACCTGCTTCTTCTAATGCTGCTCCTATTTCTCCTGAACAGCTTCACCTTGATTCACTCCACTTGGGCATGTTTGTCTTTTTCAACTCTTTTCTTACACAGGAGTTTTCTCTCTTGTTGGGATCTCCTGGGAAGGGATGCTGTTTTGTCCCATGTTCATTTACCGCCAACTTATCTTCGGGACTTACGTTTGACCCCTTTTCTTCCTCAGTATGTTTTTGATAATATTTCTGAGACTATGTAATTCAGTGTGGAATCGGTGAGACAGCAAACGACCCTTTTGTTTTTGGTAGATTCAAGCCCCTATTACTGTTTTCCATCCCACTCCTTCCCAGCCATTACCTGTTCCTACCTCCAGGGGTTCCTCCTATCATCCTACTATTCAATGAAGATGGATACATCGCCAAAAGTACCAGTGAACACCTAGTGAGGACTTGCTTGACCGAGTTTGTTCCCCTTTGGCGACTTTTTTGCCACAAATCTGTGGGTTATTTGGTTATTGTCCAAGGGACTTGTCATCCACTTCCTTTCCCCTCATCCACTGCCTCAGGATCCTACCACCAGTCAATGTCTGTCCGGGGCGGTACAAGATCTTCTTTCCCAGGATGCCACTCATCCTTTTCCAGGTTTTTATTCCAGGCTGTTTGTGGTACCTAAGAAAACTGGGAATTGGCAGCCTGTGCTATATTTGTCCCGCCTCAATCAATTTTTGGTTCTATCCCGATTTACTATGGAGTCTTTTCTCATCCTCAGGTGGGCTTTTTCTTTGAATTTGTGGATGACCAAGGTAGATGTCGCAAATGTTTACCTGCATGTTCCAATATCTCAGCTGTCAAGGCGCTACCTTCAGTTTGTTCATCATGGGGTAGTTTATCAATTTTGCAACCTGCCCTTCGGGCTTGCTTTGGCCCATATGTCTTTTGTCGGGTGGTCAAAGATTTTGTCTGACATTTCCATGTTCGGGGATTGCTCTTACATCATTACATGGATGACTGGCTTCTGTTAGCTTGTTCTGAATGGAATTCCACCCATCACACTTTTCTACTGCTCCTGGAGGCAGCTCATAAAGGTTGGTATTTGTCACTCGCTATTCGTCTCCTTGCGTGCCATATTCCAGGTGCATTCAATCTTGTTGTGGATAATCTTTCCCGTCCCGACAGAGTTTATCTGACAGAGTGGTCTGTCAATCCTCTTGTTTTTCCAGTGGCTATGCCTTCAGTGGGGTACTCCTCCCATGGATGTATTTTCCACATCCCTCAATACTGAGTCTCTGGTTCCTCATCCACTTGCTCTAGTTGTCAATGCATTCAGTCAAGATTGGACCAACAAATGCCTGTATGTTTATCCTCCCATCTATGTTCCGTGTCAAGTCCTTCTGATTGCTTCTTACTGGTTGGCACAACCTTGGTTTTCGTGGCTGCTCCAGTTAAAATTTGCCCTTCCGTTATCTTCTGTTTATCAACATAAGTGAAATGTTTTCCACCATTGGTTTTTGGGTCAAGGGTTTTCCCCCTTCTTGACCTACTGTTCCTCATCTTATGGATTTCTTCACTTGGCTGTTTGATCAGGGGTCTTCTGTCTCCTTGATTGCAGGTTATTGGGCTGCCTTACCTCACACTTTTCATTTTTCCAAGTATCGTAAAATCTTTACCTCTCCTACCCTCTCCCTATTGTTACATTCCTTCAGGATTCATCGTCCATCTCGGTGTGCAGTCTTTCTGGATTTGGATGTCAGTGTGGTTCTTCACTGCCTTAATTTGCCTCCATTTGAACCTGTGTCCTAGTGCTCAATTTTTCACTTATACCTTATGACTTATTTTCGTCTCCTATTGGCCCGTGGACATCATCAGTCGGATTTATTTGCCATTGGGCTCAATCTGCTCCACTTCAGCTGCAGGCTATGGAATGTTGTATGCATCTCATTCTCTCCTTTTCCCACTGCACAATAGGATCTTTCTCTTTTGTGGACATGGTCTTCTCTTGAAGCCCTCATTCCTCTTGATCATGCCAAAATTAACTTTCAAAACAATAAATGGAGCTAACAGAACACCATTCCTGAATCCTTCCAACAACCTCTCAGGGAATATTTTGTTGGAAAGAATGATGATGTGAAACTGGCTTCCTTGGGGCATACTATCATTCAACATTGGACCAACAAATACCCATATGTTTATCCTCTCATCTGTGTTCTTCCCAGGGTGATTTCAATCACTTGTGCCACTCCATGTCAAGTTCTTCTGACTACTCCTTACTGGCTGGCACCACTAGTTTGTGAGCAGCCATTGAACAGTTTAACTGAAATCTGAGCCTCTGTCATATCTCATTTCCTGGCCACACCACCAGTCATCTTTTTCTGAACCCACTCAATGACAAGATTTGAAGAAAGACTTGCCCATTAGCATTCTAATTGCATTGAACACTTGTGGAAAATATTTGCATGGCCAAAAAAAGGAGCCATGTAACACATATTTAGACAAAGCATCAAATTCTCATATCTTTAAGATTTGGTGAATCTTTTCATTACATCCACTATGTCCATATACTTTATAAGCACTGTTCATTACGTATAGAACATAGAATCTATCAATTTTCCCAACTGTAGTTGTATCTTCAGAGGAAACTGGTCTTTTAGGTACAATTCTGCACTGATTCACAACATGGGTAACAGAGATTTTCAGGAATATCACAAGCACTAATTCTTTAGTTGGGAGCATCAATCGAGAATTAATATTTTCAATTTTAAAAAAATGTATGAAATGAAATAAATCAGGGTTTTTTATTTATTTTGTTTTTTGATTTAATGGTGCTGTTTGTTTCATTGAGGCAGAAACCACATCTATCTGGACATGATAGAATTAACAAAATTTTCTTTTTTTTAATGAGATGCATTTTTGTGGAGTGTATGTTTCAAAACAACAAAGTAGTTTTTTGTCTCATGTAATATTTTTAATAGCAGTCTTTATGTGTAAATAAATTGCTGTAAGGTCCAAAAACAGAAATTAAAATGAATTGTATTTGGCTTTATGAAAATAATCAACACCTAGGAAGTAAATAATAGCAAATAATTGATATTTATAGGAAATTGTATGCTTCATTTTGTATATTATAGAAGGCTCTTTTTTGTTTTTTCTTTCTTGTAAATATATCTTTTCAGAACATGTACTCTAGTGACTTGATGTACTTAAATGCTAAGATATTTGGATGTAGATGTTTTAGAAGTGTATTCTTTAAACTTATCTCATGATAAAAATATTTGGACTTTTCAGTCCAGTATCTAAAAAACAAACAGTTGCTACTAAGAGAGGAAATTGATTGTAAAGACCCTTTAAAAAAACTGTATGAACTAAGTTATATCAAAGATGTAGTAACAAAATGATTATTAACCATTTGTAAAGTATGTAATTTTACCTAAAACTCCCAAGCCAGAATTGACTTTAAAAAGATTTGGTTGCTTTATCTTACATCCAAGGAGTAAGTAAAAGACTTACTAGACTTTTTGCTTCAGCTAATATTATAGTTTCTTTTACACCATGTTCATCTTTTAAAGCAAATGTTGCTGTATTCAAAATACAAAATATTGTTAAAAATTAGAATTGGTGTATATGAATGTGCAGTAAAAATTTACAAATAATAGAATCTGACTTAGCTGAACACATATCAATAAATCATTCAATCTACTGGAACGGTGGTGAAATATTGGTTACTGAACAACATATGGTATGTACAATAGGGCTTTATAAAAGGTTGGCATATCACTACATAAGTCTACATTTGGTAAATTAAGGGTGCAGGCTGAACTCCATTTGCACATATCAAAGTTAAACTAATATAGATACTGGTATGAAACTTTGAAAACAACTTCCATTGGAAATCTTAATGTCAAGCTGTTTGTTTTATAGTTGTTGTGTTTTTTAACTAACTTTGGTTTAATAGATTTATCCCTGTTATCTACATTTTAATTAATTGGTCATGGTTGTCTAAGTCTTTAAAAGCAAAAGTTTTAGCAAAAAATGGGGATTTTTTCCCTTCCCCTTCTTTGTTAAAGATGAAAAATAAAAGGAGGATCAAACATAAGGACCATTATAACTATTCACATTGACTAATTGCTGTGAAATAGTTGCATATTTCAGTACTAAAAACATACCTGAAGATTGAAGAATACTGTAACTACCTTTTTTATGCATTAGATTAGCAGGTTATGTATATGGACAAGTAGTGAGTAATTTTATAGGTTACGGAAAAGGTACATGTACAAATGTAAAAATAACACCTTTCAAAATACAGAACAAATGGGAAAAAAATCAAATTTACACATTTTGATTATAAGTCTTCACATTTTAAAGCTTTTTCATTATAAAAAAAATTCAATTTTGATAAATACATATTATGGCCTATAAGTAATCAACATACATTTTTTCTTAAGAACATAAACATGAATGGAATATCATTAATCTTGCTATAAAACTTCTACTGGAAGCATTATACCATCAAATAGATGACTTATTTTTATGCTGTACACTACTAGTTGGCCTGGTGGTTAGAGTGCTCAATTCTCAATCTGCAGGTTGTGAAATTAAACCCCATCACCAAATATGCTCCTTCTTTCCATTGTTGGGGCATTATAATGTTATAGTAAATCCTACTATTTATTGATAAAGAGTAGCCCAAGAGGTGGTAATGGATGGTGTTTATAAGCTGTCTTCCTTCTCTCTAGTCTATCACTTTAAAATTGTGGATGGCTAGTGTAGATAGACTTGGAGTTTTTTTTAACAAGAATCAACAAACACTACTATTGCATCATATAGAGTCCAGTGTAATTTTATATTTTTGCCTGTTAAGAAATTCAGTGTAAAAACATTTGGTAAAATTATCAGTAATTTCTTCATGGCAATATATACGTGTCCTTAGTTCTAAATGAATATTTTTTGTTGATTATCTGTTGATTTGTTGTTAAGTTAATTGGACGATTTATCTTCTCATTTTAGGATGTTTTCACTGTGAAGCCAGAATCACTTACTAATTTTCCAGAAAATAAAACTACTACTAAACTCACATTCAATCCAGAAGACTTGGATGATGCAATCATGAAAGAAGAAAGTGTTGAAGTAACAGGGAAGGTAAAGCAAATACAATCACAAGAAACAAAACAAACAAATGAAGCAGAATTTATGCTGGAAGCTTTACCTAGTGAGTTATTTTAGTGATTAAACTTTTAAAACATTTTTGTTGGCCAGACTTTAATTCTATGGAGTATTTTTCTCATATTTCATATTCTATTTACAGAATATTCATTAAATACCAAGGTAGATCAAAAATTGTGTTGTGACGATAAACATATAAACTACATCATTTGACTTTCTAAATCTCATTAATAAAATAAGATATTCAGTACATGATTTAATTTGGCTTTTATATAAATTTTTGAGATTCTCCCTCTATGCATAAAGTTTGATCAGTTAGTATCTCTTCTATTGTATTATGGCCAGACTATTGCCCAGCTGTTACTTTTCTTATGCTTGTTTAAAATAGGTTAAAGAAATGAAATCCCAAATTTTATCAAACTACTGACTTGTTAGAGATATTCTGATTGAAGTTCTCATTTTCTACTATAATATAAAATATATATGTTTATAATATCCTTCAGTACCCGTCAGAGTACTAAATATATTGTATCACATGATTACTGGCCCTTGATCACCAGCAATGTAATGAACTTTTTAATTCTTGGTTACTTTTGTCATTTATCAAATTGTTTAAATGAAAGTCAATACAACATTGCACTTGAATTCAGTACCATACATGTTGACTGCACTGTTCATATCAACTCTGTACATGTAAGTTCAGTATTATCAAACATAATTTTATCTTAAATTTCAGTATATGAAGAAATACAGGTTTTTACTAAATTGTTGAAAGGCAGACTGTAGTGTTTGACACAGCCAGAAAAGCACACTACTAATGGCATCTAACAACCAGTCCATCAGCTCCTTTTCTTTAAATAAGTCGAAAGAATAGCTTTTGAGTGGATTGTTTATTTTTATTTAACTTTTTTGACGATGTTTCGTCCACTCGTGTAGCCATCATCAGGTAACTGTCTCTATTTTGTGAAATACTGCGCGAGCATTTTGTTCCAATTTAGAAAACATATATAGGGTGACACCTGTGTTTTGATTTAAATTAGGTTTTAATTCACGAACAATTAATGCTTCTTTTATATTTCTTCTATTAATGTTGCATAATATCTTAAAGTTGTTAATGTTAATTGGATGTTGATTTGTTGTGCTATGTTCGTAAATGTGTGATTGGAGTTTCTGTTATTTGATCCTAATGCTTATGTTGCATCCCGTTTCGCATAAGTAAATGTATCGCATCGATCATGTTGATACTTGTAGATGCTTCCGTTGTTGAAGTTGTCAGAATAAACCTTCCTTAGATGACCTTTGATTTTAGTGCTCAGTTTTGTAATAAAAGTAACTTTGCTGTTTATTTTGTTTGTTTTTTATGCATGTTTCCAAATGTTTATGATGTTTTTGGTTACATAGCTGTGATATGGTACGACACCTATTAGTGTGTCTGAGTTTGTGTATTTTGTTTCTTTCATGGGGTTTATGTTGTTTTCCCTTTCTTTTTTTATGTTATTGAGTTTGTTTTTATACTCGGTTAAGGTTCTAGTGACAATGTGTTTAGGCAAGTGACATTTGTTAATAAATGTGTCAGATATTGATGCTGCAGATTACTGCTACTACGTGTTAAATTCTTTGTTGTAAATTCATGATAACGTGCCAATTTTTTGTTGAGTTTAGTGGGCTGAGTCCCATTTTATATAGTTGTTATCATTACCAGAATTGTGGAATTTTTTCATGTTAAAACTGTTGGAGTTTCTTTCTATTATGTTCATGTTATTTAAAACCTAGTTTTCATTCTTTTCTTCATGAGTGAATTTGATGTTAGAGTGAATGTTGTTTATGTGTTGTTGGAATTACTGTTGATGGCTGTTGTCTCCAAATCCACAAAATATATCAATGGATATGTGGGAGGGTGTAGAGCTGTGTTAGTGGCCTCACTTTTTATTTAGTTGATAAACAGTTTACATAATCCAAGTGATAGAGGGCTGCCCATACTTAGGCCATCTGTTTATTCATAAGTTTTGTCTTGGCAGGTGAAACATATTTTTAGTACAAAATGGAACAAGTCTTTCAAAATTTCCAAGCTCAGGTTGTAATGCAATTTGTCAGAATTTTTTTAGTTCTAGAAAGGATCTAAACATTTTGACAAATTGCAAAATAGTGACAGTTACCTGATGATGGACAAAACATCACAAAAAAGTTAAATAACAATAAACAATCCACTCAGAAGTTGTACCTTTGGACTTTTGTTTAAAGTGTATAGTAGATTTTCTCTCCTCACAACAAGCTCCTTTTCTTATTACGTTTAGATTATACCTGACAGTTTATATCAGCTCCTGCTTTTATAAATCATTTGCACAAGTGATCTAAAGAAATTATGTGCGAATTGAGTGGTGTTAGCCCAAATATCAGTTGTGGATTTGTTGTTCAAAACATTTTGTTTCATATATTTTGCTTAAGAAAAGCTATATATATATATATTTGATGAGAGTTGATACCTACTTGTCTTTTCATCTTCACTGGTGAAAAATTTTGTATTTAAACCTTGCTTAAAGAACTTGAGTAATAGATGATGCTTCTGTGCACTTTTATATATATATATGATCACCATTTGAAAATACATGTATGAACAATGAAATGTCATTCCTCGTCCAAGCTTTCAAAGCGGGTTTAGATTGAAAAAGATTCTTCATCTATTGTGTCATCCTTATATTTCTGTATTTTCATTCCTTTGTGTGCAACTTATTTTTACAGCCATGTGTATGCTAGTAATTTTGAACTCTTACAATATTTTGCAATTCCATAAGAATTGGCATCAAATTTGAAAGAACAAGTAGTAATCATGTTTAAACAGACAGCATATATTTGTTGTGTAAAGGTCTGTGGGTTAATCATATTTTTTATAAGAGTAAAAACATCTGTGTAGAATTATTGGCTTATGATCCACATCAAGTCTTTGTTTTTTTTGCTTTTTTACAGATGCATGTCTTATTTTGTTAAGCAAAGTAGAACCTATGGAAGAGAAATTTTTCTATGCAGAAGGGTCTTCATATTCCCCATGCCGATTAAAGAAGAAGAAGGTAAATACATGGGAATCTCGATTTTGTGTTAACGAATGCTTTATTTTTACCGAACTTAAAGTAAGTGACATGTGGTAAAACATAGGATTTTTTGTTGTTGTTTAAGAAATTTAAAGAGCATAAGTTGACTTTGTGATATAAACTACTAATTGAGAGACCAATCAAATGTTTTAAGTATAATTTTATACATCAGTAAAAGACAAGATGAATGTATTAACCCTATCGTCCTGGGTATCCTTTACTGCGCATGACACAAGGTGTTAGTGTCTTAGATTCAAAATTTTAATAAACTACTTTTAGTTTATGTTATGTCAACTAGAATAGTATAAAATCTTTGTCAATTATCCTTATTTTAATAATATAAAAGTTTTAAGTTTATAATTCTAAAAGGCAATATTTAAAAAAATCCTGAATTTCCACTAGTGTGACCTACGTGACACATTTTCTCTTAGCATGTCATCATTCCTATTTTATCCACCATCCCTCGAAAATGTACAAAATTTAACGTAAAATACTCTCTATAAAATTGTTATTGCTCAAACAAACCATAATTTTATAGCCTTCAATTTTGTTTGGTTACAAAGCTAGTGAATAGAAAATCCGACCCCTCCTGCCACACCCACCTGTCACATCCTCTCTTTCACAATTTGTTGATAGTTTTCTTTTACGTTTCATAAAAATATTACCTATAACCAATAAAAGTGAAGGTTTCCATCTATCAAATGATGTATTGTATAACATTATGTTCTGAACGGTTAAATGGCAGTTTCATTCAAAGTACGAATATCGTTCCTGTGAGAAAGCTAATGACAAGCTTGGATGAATTTTTAACAGCTCTCGTCGCTTAGTTAGAAAGCCAGGAAAATTTTGAAAGGAAAGTGAATTTGTCTACTTTTTGTATTTTATTAATCTATATTCTTTGGTGCAATATTTAATTAAATAAAAATTATTAAGTGCATTACTATCTATAATATAGAAAATTAGGGTTAACTCTCTTTGAAACCCAACTGCAAGAAAAAAGAAGATTGGTTAAGTATCTAATTTCTTGTTTTTCATGTTTATTCTTTATGTATAAAAGTAACTAAAATCTCAAAATACAGATCTTTTTAAGTTATTTAAGACTAGATTAGGTAAAATAAGTAATAATAATAATATAATTATATAATTAATAATATAAATGGTTCATGAGGCACGCACATGAGCAGCTTGTGGGTAATGTAATTCGATAGAATAATGTGAGCCGTATGTTCCCCAAGTGATTTACAACTAGTAGTAGTAGTTGTAAGATAGTAGTTAGACATGGTTCAAATGGCAATAAAACAATAAAATGTAGTTATAAATAGATGTATACTGTTACAAAGTTAGAGCTACTTAGGATAAACGAATGTAGTTTCATGTTATAATTTGAAGTCATTCTAGAAAGAAAAAAGGGTAATTTAAGTTTATTTCGATTTTTTTTTGGTGGTTACGAGGTTGATGGAATTGACAAATCCCGTTTTGAGATAGGTTAGAGAAAATAACAGATAAACTATAAAGTTTTACTGAAAAAAAACGGGAAGTTTTAGGGATTAAGCATAGGAAATTTGAGATGAGGAAAAGTATTTTTAATTTTAACAGTAAAATTACTTTGCACATGGATTATTCAAAACGAATATTCAATATATTCATGGACAAATCTTGATTTTATTTTATTAAAAATACTTCACTAAAAATATAATGACTTTAATCGAGTACAAAGAGGTCATGTGGTCGGTCATATTGACTGAGCCCGTGTTGAGAGAGTTAAGACATCACAAATCGACATTCATATATTAAGAACAAATATAATTCTAATGTAATTCAGCAAATTTGTATGTGAAAATAGTGAAATGGCATTTAAATATATAACAGCTACCATTGACGTAGGGGAAGGTTGCAAAAAAAATGGCTACAGTATGTTTCTGCCCAAATTTTGTGGAGGCCATGAGGGGGTCTGAGGGAGTGCTGTAAGTTCCCCCAGTGATATCAAGCTTTTTATCTTGTAAAATGCATAAAAAATGAACAACTTACAATACTTGTGCAAACTAAAGTTATGAGAAACATGAGTGTGTGTGTGTCAAATCTATAAATTTTATTCTGTAACAAGCATCATAATTAACAATCAAAAACACAAATATTTTTTTCTTACATAATTCAAAACTCAAAACAAATAAAATGTATCTTTTTTATAAGTAAGGATGAAACTTGAAATTACGTATCAAAAGTTCACAACTATTTATACAATATGAATCTGATAAAACAGATGCACTTTATAGTTTTAGAAATAATGTTTTTTATTCATTCAAAATATTACCATCCTAATATCTTTAGCAAATGAGATGTTTTTCTTGCTTACTCCATTTACCAAAAGAGTCACTAATCCAGTCCATATTGCTTACTCTGATTTTGTACGCAACATCTCTATTGCAGTAAACCATTGCCAGGTTTCGAAGTCTTTTCTTACCCACCGTGGAATGCAAATAGGTGAGAATGTGGCAAAGACTACTGAAAGATCTTTCTGCACTTACAGAGGTAATAGGTATGGTTGCAAAATGTTTCACAATTTGACCAAAATGAGGCAAAATTTTAAACATAGATTGATATACAAGCCAGGGAACCAAAGATGAAAGATTGGTGAAAGAAATGTTTTCTGGGGTTCCTTGCTGGATAGTATGTACCTATCAGCTATAACAAGGTCAGAATCAATACCATAGAAAGATGAAGCTGTTTGAATCTTTTCAATATCTTCCTCGGCAGCCAGCTATACAACATCTGCAATAGCTGACAATATCTTTGACGACTTATCTTGAAATCCCACTTGCATTTCTTTGGTAATGCTGTCAATTGCAGGGTAGTAAAGTTTATTCAAATAAAATGAGAAAGAGTTGTTATATACAGTTGGTACCTGCTGTTGGAGCAAGTGCAAATAGGAGGTATTCATGCCTCGCAAAACACGTACTCACATTTTTCATTGAACTTCTCATTCACAATCTTCACTTCCATTGCATATTTGTCTGTGAGTTTCCATAAAATTCTAAAGTAATTGTCTGTTTACTTGTTTATGTGAGTTTTGATGACAGACTGAGCAGTTGCTTGAGCTGTGCCTATATCAAGATTCTTTGTTTGTAGATACTGCGAGAGAGAGTTAACATGTGACAGAATATATTCGAGAATCATCAGGCTGAGAATGAATTTGTAGTGTAGGATGTTGAATAGAATACCTCTAGAGTCAGATGTTAGTTTTAAAGATGACTCTTTTAACATCAAAAGCATTTCTGCCACTGAAGCCAGGTATTCCATCACTGCTTTTACTGCAGCAGTGTAGCAACAATAGCGAGTTTTTGACTGGGTTTTCATAGTAATACTAGTCTCCTGATTTTGTTTCTGTATCACCTTAATCACTCCCTGTCATTTTGGAGATACTTCGATGAAATTGTAAAGGGATTGAATTGTTTCTAGGCTGTTGCACAGAATTTCTACATGATTCATTCCTACCTCCAATGCAAAGTTGAGATGATATGTGCAGTGAACATAAGAGCATTCGGCATCTTCTTCTTCTACCTTTGCTACAACACCCTTTAGTCCTCCTTTCATATTTGATGCACCATCAAAACCCATTGTAACATGTCATGCTCTTTGAGGATGAATTTTAATAAGTCAAATAACGCCTTTCCTGTGGTTGAAAAAGTGTCATAAAACCCAAAGAAACGTTATTCGATGAATCCCACATACACAACATGGAAGCAGAGTAACACCTGTTCCTGCCGGACAGTGTCGCTGGTTTCATCAGCTATAATGCTATACTGTCCAGTGCTTTTGATATACTGTGTTATGTGCCAGAATACTCTTTTAGCTATCTAGTTGATCAACTCATTTTGGATTTCAGGAGATGTCCACTGCATATGGGCAAAAAACATTTTCTGCTAACTGACTCCAGAAAATTGCCCATTTTGGTCGCTCAGTTCTCCAAGATTACTGAGACTCTCATTGTCTCCACAAATTGGAATGTTTTGCTAAATGCAGTGAAAAATTTCTTCAGTAATAGCACATAAATAATCAGTTTTCTCTCATTTGTTTGTAACATTTAGTTTCTTGTATTTGTAAAGCTGTTGTTCAATGATCAGATATGTTCCTTTGACACATCCACCTGATTACGGCATTTGAATGAGCCTTTGTTGTAGAATGCTGATTGAGGATGTTAGGATGCTGTCAGTCTTTGAAGATGAATTTCTTCTTTTTATCACTGCAGGATTTTTCACAAGGAAAGCATGATACTTCATCTTCTTCAGTGGAGTAGAAAAACCAAGGATGCTCCTTATACCATGCAGGGTCGAAGCGATGATTTTGTGTACCAATTTTGAAAGAGGAAATGATGAAGAATAGGCTGCTGACGAAAGTCAAATTTAGACAATGCAGAAATTGGTTCTAAAGATTGAACATAGTCATTTAACTTATTATCTTCAACTTGAGTCTCAGATTCAACTAATTGTAATTTAGTTTCAGGCGGAAGCTGTTTCTCAGTTTCTTTGGGTACTGGAACTGTCTTCCCCACTGGTTGAAGCTTGATTTTGAGTGTTGGCTGCATTTTTTTCTTCTTGGCCATCGGAAATTTCTCCCTCTTCTAGCTGTTTATTTTTGCAAAAACTGAAAATGTCTGGTTGACCATGAGGAGCAACACATTTGGTGCCACATTTTGATTTTCCTTTAAAATATCAGAATGGAAGCTTTGATCATGGCTTGATTTATTATCTTTATGAAAGGTCTTCTTACAAACCACACACATAAGTCTCATGGTAATCCTGTTTTATATTTGACATGAATAAAAAAAGAAGAAAAATCAGCACAAAGCGTTTTAAAACAAACGTGAACAGTAAAGCATGAAATGTAAAAATAAGAAATATCAACTATAATTTTTACATTTTGCTTTTTATGGAAATAAATGAAGTATATAATTATATTAGCCCAATTTTCATAATTATCTG